AGTTGCCCATTTAGCATGTGGCTTGAAAACCATGCAAAAACTAGGCAGGTTACTATGTAAAATTTCTTTTTCTTATTTATGAATTCTATTTCCCAATTCCATAAAAAAAAATTCTGCAATCTTTTACCTTATGAGCCAATATAAATGGCAAATTAAAAAGCAAATTAACTGCACACTAAACGTAAACCCTTATATACACAATTCTGTGAAAACACCCAAAATGGGTCTACTAGATGTACAAGAAGTGAACTCAATCGCTAACGTAATCAACAAAATATAATCAAAAAATATCGATAACGACTTAACAAATATCTTATTATCAATAATTGTTTTCATTATGAGCGGATGCATTTTGTATAAAGCCTATATGTACCACATGAAGTGCATATCAAAAAGTGCTGTAAACAGAAGCCAGGCTAACGATCAGGATAAGATATAAATTAATAAACCGCGAACAATTGTTATAAAAATATGTTTAAAAAAAAAACTACAAAGTATATACAAATGTGTATATGTTGACAGTGGCATATTTAAGAAAGAAATAAATGCTATCAAAAAAAAAAAAATTTTACCTCATTTTGAATTTTTATTATTGAAAATGAAATAAAAATAATTAAAAACTAAAAATGAACACACGGAATTGCATTATAGTTACTACCGATAAAGAACTAAATTTTGAAAATAGAGTATTAGCCATAGTTAGAAACGGAGCAGAGCCTCTATTAATTTTTCTCCATTATTACATTGCTCAAATACACAAAAAGCAATAGTATTGAGTAACATTCCAGGTGTACAAGCAAATTACAGTAAATAAACATGCTGAAATATTAGTAATCCGCTTCAACAGAGCGCGTATACTAATACATGACCAGTGAGACCGGATAGACAAAGCCCATTGGTCTGAAGTATCTAGGTTCTTGATCAAATTGCGATCGAACTTAATATATATAAAACAAAAGTACAATTTAACTATTTCTGTTACAACTATATTAAATACTCCATTGACAGTGGAAACTAGAGACGATCCAGAATTATCAGATTCGCCTGCACTTGAGCCAGCTGAGATAGATGACCCCGTCTCTACAGGTCCCGAAATAAGGAAAAAGACATTAATAACCTCACCATTCCCGCCGTCCATATTCAATCTGAATTATCAGATGAGGGCTTAAAAGACACCGATACAAACGATAGCCTTATAGAAGAAAAACCGACCACAATGGCCGATGAAACCATTGCCCAAAGGGCATACATAAGAGAAATATCGAAAACCATCCCCGAGTTTAACAGGCAAACCCCTTCTAAGATTCATAACAGCTTTGAAGTTGGTTAAGCTGACAAAGGGCACAAAAAGACATTATACAGAGTTCAAAACGAAACACCGATAGACGCCATAATCAAAAAATTTTAAGACACTGTAGTCGGCGAAACATCCGACGTAGTTAAAGCCAAAATGGCAAAATCAAGCCAGAAAGGCAAAATAGCAGAAAAGTTTACAACAGAAATCGACAACCTAAAATAATATTGGAAGCAGTCAATTTAGCAACTGTGAACGAAGCAGTCACCAAGTACATACAATGCAGTACTGAAATGACGGGCAATGCCAATTCAAAATTATACACCCAAAAAATAAGCAACTAACGCGGCAATAACTTCAGAAACAATTATCGCGGTAGGGGTAACAATAGAGGTAACTATCACAATAACCGATATTACCAAAACAACGGATATTACCAAAACAACGGCTATAACCAAAACAACGGTTACAACCGAAATAATATTAACCAAAATAACAATTATTATAGAAACAACTACAGAAGTAGAAACAACCGCGGTGTAAACAACCGCGAGGGAAACAACAATGGCAATAACAACAATTATCAAAACAACAACGTTAGGGTAGCCCAAACGAATTCGGGAAACTCCCAAACACCTTTAGATACACAGCAGTAGATAACATCAAAATTCACACCATAAATCTCAGTCAGAGTACATTCGTCCCTTTCATAAACGAAGTAACAGGAAAAGAATTAGTTTTTCTACTAGATACAGGTGCGGAAATATCCATATTGAAGGAAAACTCCGATATTTTTCAACACATTCAAAATAATCATATAATAAACATACAGGGAATAAGTCAGGAAGTTATCAAATCAAAAGACTTAACTCTCATTGAATTACAAACTTCTAAATATATAATCCCACACGATTTCCATATCGTAAATATAAAATTCGCCATTCCTTAAGATGAAAATACTAAGAATCGATTTTATTAAAAGATATAACTGTCAACTTGACTTCAAGCCGTCTGAAGACTGGCTTATGATTAGACCAAATAATCTCAAATATTCGATTTATGTTCCAATAACATACAGTTCTGGCAACAACTCCCTAATTCTGCCAGCAAGATCCCAAGTCGTCTGAAAAATTGAAATAAATTCAGAAGAAGACAGTGTATTAATTCCGAATCAAGAAATCCAGCGTGGTATTTATATTGCAAATACCATAGCAACAGTCCAAAATGCATACATAAGACTTTTAAACACAACAAATACAGATCAGGTAGTTTACACTTACAATATTCAATATGAAACACTTTCAAACAAACAGTCTTAAAGAACCGAGAAAAGATTGTATTAACTCAGCTTTCAAAAAACTTCCCGCCACAAATCAATAAACAACTAACAACATTATGCACCCAGTATAGCGATGTATTCGGACTAGAAACCGAAACGATCACTACCAATAATTTGTATAAACAAAAACTGAGATTAAACGATAACAGTCCACTTCTATTAGTACCCAAAAAGTCACTTCCGAATTAGGAAAAGAAAAATTGGCGATTAGTAATTTATTATCGTCAGATTAATAAAAAGCTCTTGTCTAATAATTTTCCACTCCCTAGAATTGATGATATTTTAGATCAACTAGGTAGAGGAAAATACTTCTCATGCCTTGACTTAATGTCCGGTTTTCACCAAATTGAACTCGAAAAAGTTCACGGATAATAACATCCTTTTCAACAAAAAATGGTTCATATCGCTTCACGCGATTCGGTTTAAAAATAGCGGCAAATTCTTTGCAGAGAATGATGACTATAGCTTTATCTAAATTGGAACCTTCGCAATCATTTCTTTATATGGATGATTTAATAGTCATAGGTTTTTCCGAAAAACATATGCTCAAGAATATTTAACTGATTTTTCGGGAAATGTAGGCAACACAACCTAAAGTTACATCCTGAAAAATGTTAATTTTTTATGCACGGAGTCACTTTTCTAGGACATAAGTGCACAGATAAAGGAATCTTGCCTGACGACAAAAAATACGACGTCATTCAAAATTATCCAGTCCCACATGATGCGGACAGCGCTGGAAGATTCATTGCATTTTGTAATTATTACAGACGGTTAATAAAAAATTTTGGTGAATATTCCCGTCACATAACAAGATTATGTAAGAAAGATGTAAAATTCGAATGGACAACTGAATGCCAAAACGCCTTCGAACATCTTAAATCAGCATTAATAAAACCAACTCTGTTACAATACCCAGTGTTGATGAACGCTTTGCAGCCGTTATTTTGAAATCATATATTTGCATTCAACTTAAGTTTTGGTATTTTTAAGTATCATATACCATTTGTGCTGCGCCACACTCTTGAGATTTTTTAGTGATAAGACTACAGCCAAACATGTCGGACACGCAGAAACCGTTTAATTAAAATAAAAATAATACAGTCCACTCAAACTCGGGAATTAAACGTTTTAATTCATCACCACCCAGATTTTAGCAAAGAATTTTGCATAATTACAGCTGCTAGCAAATATGCTTGTGGAGCAGTCCTAACACAAAACAAAAGTGGACTACATCTTCCAGTTGCGTACGCATCAAGATCTTTTACAAAAGGTGAAAGCAACAAGAGCACAACAGAACAAGAACTAGCATTTATTCATTGGGCAATAACATATTTTAGACCATATATTTATGGTAGACAAAAACAAACAAAACAGACCTCAGAACACTTACCTACTTATTTTCAATGGTAAACCCCAGTTCCAAATTAACACGAATGAGGCTTGAATTAAAGGAATATAATTTTACGGTAGAGTATCTAAAGGTTAAAGACAACTTTGTAGCCGATGCGTTATCAAGAATCACTATCACTGACTTAAAAAACATACAATCAAACAATATGGTTCTGAAAGTCACTACCAGAAACCAAAGTAGACAAAAATCCTGCGCAGGAAAAGAACAAATAGAATTGCATAAGCAATCTATAGATAAAGCTTCAAAGCCCAAAGTAAATGAAGTCATTAATAATGATGAAGTACGTAAAGTAGTGACCTTTCATGTAAATAATAAAATGTGCTTATTTAAATACGGAAAGAAAATTACAGCAAGATATGATGTTAGCGATTAGTATACATAATGGAACCATTGACTTAGGTCAATTCTTTCAAAGGCTTGAAAAGCAGGCCGGTATTAACAAAATCAGTCAACTCAAAGTGGCACCGTGGGAAAATATGGGCAATAAAATATTAAAATCATTGAGAGAAGCGCTACTCAACCCGGTGACCCTAATACCGAATAATAAAGATAAAGAAGCTATATTGTCTACATTCCATGATGATCCAAGACAAGGAGGTCATACAGGCATAAAAAAACATTGGCCAAGGTCCAGAGACACTATTACTGGAAAAATATGTCTTAAGAAATAAAAGAAATGTCCTAAAGAAATGTACTCAGCTGGAAAGCATCATTGCTTTAATTTTTTTTGAACATATACGCAAATAAATAAAAATGTATATGTTATAAAGAAAATTGCATTTTTGCTAAAGGTGCAAGGGTATATAAACTTCGGCTTGACCGAGCGATGGGGGCCTTTTGTTTAACCCTTAAACAATATTAATAATCGTTTTTTAATTCAAAATTATGATCCGTCTCACTTTTTATATACAAATTCTTTTATGTTACTAGCTATTCTGCTTATGGATACATACCTCGACTTTCAGTAATATGACCTTGTGCCTTAAGATTTTCCTCTTCAGCCCTTACAAAGTAGATTAATGTATATCCAATGGCAAACATAAGTCCGATTGTACCCAAAAGCGAAAATGCTGCAAGAAGAGTCTCTTCTTCGATATTGTCAAATAGGTAATCCACTAAATATAAGAATCGGGAAATCCATTTTGTTAAAGTTCCTTGAGAGTGCTCATTAATTAATTTCTGAAAGTTTTGGAATTATTTATATTCAGAAACACAAATGATGAAAAATCAGTACCTGCACAAAGGCTTCATAATTTAAGGCTTCTGAAGATTTTAAAAGCCGTTTCACGGTGTCGAAAATTTCGATTTTAGTCGAATTGATAAGACTTTCAGGTACAATATTCGTATTCTGATATGCTCCACAGACCCATTCGTATTTTATAAGATTAGCATCTCGTCGCCAAATAATGACAATTTTTAGAAGACCTTCCATGGATCCTTTGGAAATTGCTTGAACAAACTCTGTTTGGCTTTCCTGAAAAACAAATAAATTGTTTAGGTATTAACTAATTGTAAAAATAGGTTTAAACCAAGTTATAAAATGTAAAGAGACAGATAAGATTATGCAATATTTATTATGAAGAATGAAAATATATTATAAATATATTATAATTTTTATTTTATTTTTTATTTTATTTTAATATTTAGCATTAAAAGTTAAATATTATAAATGTTTTTTTTCTGAAACTTCCTGAATGTCTTATATTTTTATGTGTGTTAGCAAAAATAAGTTTTAAGTTTGTTTTTGAATTGTGACAGCATAAAGAGCTTGCAAGCCTTGCGTACAAGGCTATATTGCTGTTTCGTTGCGAGGAAGATAAGGTCATACAAATACTCAGTTTGATTTTTTTTAAGTCTAAGAATATTAAGATTCTTAAATCAATCCAAGTATGATATTTAAGGTTTAAGATTTTATTTGCGCTTTCTGTTACATAGCCCGTTCTAATAAATACTTTTTTCTAAAATCAATCAATACTATTATCAATATTCCTAGTACTACTTGTACAACATTTTTTAGTTTTCTGCCTAGTCACATCAATTTACATTACATTAATATTCCTAATTTCATGCTCACAACAACATTTTAGTTAATTTAATTTAATAGATAGCTGTTGAACATAGAATCATTAAATTTTATTTGATTTTTTGTTTAAATTTTAATTATATTTATTTATTATTTATTTTTTTTGTGAGTTTAAGTTTAAGTTTATTTTGAGTGTGTTAAAAGTGGTCGCTAAGTTTAATCTTCTTTTATCTTATGTCGACTTGCTGCATCAAAACAAAAGTTCAAGCCAACAATATTTGAAATCAAGTTTGCATCATTAATATGATCATTCCACGACTAAGTCTTCTTAAAATGAATACCCTTCATCCCTTGGCGCTCTTCGCCGATACTGGGGATAACCATCCACTCCTGTAATAGTTTCCTTAACATAATATCTCGGGAATTTTTTTTTCATTTTCTTTCAATCATACATGGCGAATTAATATATATATAAAATATATATAATATTGCAAGGGATCCTGTTGTAAATCAGGAATTTCAGCACTAATGTACGACTCGATTTGATTGGCCATAATTTTAGTCTTCAACCAAATAAGTAAGTGGACATGGTGCAGACCACGTTTTTGCCAATTATTAGAATACATAAAACACTGTACTTTACAAAACAATCGGTTTTTAACCAACAGCGCCATTAATGTTTTATCTTTTAAATGAAAGACCCGAGATATCAGGTCATGCCGATCCTGATTTAGGGTTACAGGTAAATGTTATAAAAAGATCAGGTCGGCCATAATGTCGAACATAAGTCATGGCAGCGTAGGTCTTTTCATGCATAAATCAAGGAGAGTCTGTAAAGGTAGAAGGTAAAATCACCATCTGACCAAGTTAAGTCACATCTGCATCTCCCTTACCTATAGCGTCTTGAAGATGTATGTAACTCTACTCTTAACTTTTTTCGATTTGCTCGAAAATAATTAAGCCGTTCAGTTTTCATTTTTGCACTCATATCAACCAAAAATTGATTAAACAGAGCTCTAAAATAATGCAAGTGATTAAATCAGTCTCTCTAAGCATTATTCGATAACTGTAAAAGCTTATTGCAGATTCAGTCTTCTTAAGATCATTTTTTGTTAATGGTGTAGCGCACACATATTGTATACCCACTGTACCAAGAGTACTTTGTTGCAGTGTTTACATAATCTAAATGTCCCAGTCTTAAACCCAAGTGGCCGAAATATCAACCGATCGCTATGCCTTGGACTACACACCGAAAGTGCTAGCATCGGCATAATTGGAACACGAACGGACCACGTGTTCAAATACCTCGCGCTCCTGCTTAACTTGATGTTTCGATTGTGATCAAAGAGGATACTTTATGGATCTAACAATGATATATGGAAGAATAACACCTGGAACACTGACAAAGGAGAAAAGAGAGAAGCTGACCATTACCGAGGAAAGTGAATTCCGCCCGGAAAACTGGCAAATAGGATGGAAAAATCAAAAGTCTGAGTGAGTAGAGTGCGAGTAATGGGCAAACGCGAAGGCCAAAAAGCAAGATAAATAAAAGAATAGCTCATATTAAGTGGCTATTATACAGAAATACGCTGCCCACATGGGCAGTCGCAGAAAAATTAACTGCTGAACTTGATTTTTTTTAAAGAATGCCTACAGCTACGCAAGCCAAATACCGCAACTCACTCAGCAAATATTAAAGTTATAAATGAAAAAATAACTAATAAATCACCATCTCCAAAGCCTTTGCCGAAGAAACCTGACGTCTGCCCGACGACTGCCCTGGACCACTAGACACCGCAGCATGCAAATACATATGCATGAAGAAGACCAGTGCGAAGACCGGCCCCCCCTGAGCTCATAGGCTCGGGACAACAGCAGCAGAGAACTCAAGAAGCGTGAGAGGCACCCCGTCCCTTGCGCCTTCGAAGGAAACCAAACCGGTGACGACCAGCTGACGCGGAGAACACCAGAAGATACTTTATCGGAAGCAGCCAAATCAACAGCACGAGGGGCAATCCGTTACTTGCGCCTTCGAAGGAGCGTCAGCGATGCCAAGCCGGCGACGACCAGCTGACGCAGGGAACACCGGAAAAATATTTTAATACCATTTGCACTGCGATGCATAATTTTTAAATTGCACTGAGATGCATATTTTTTTTAATAATATATTATAATTTTTGTAAAGCTGAGCGGAACTCTTTCTGCCCAGTTAGAAGTATGGTCCGTAAAGCCATACGAAAAATGAGAACATGTAGAAACAAAATAAAAAATTACAAATTTCTAAAAAATTTAAACAAAATTAATAAAAATTCAATAAAAAAAAAACAATTTTTTCTTCATGAGAAAATATACATGGCACATTAATAATAAATCGATAAAAAAACATATATAATTGGCATATATTATAAAACACCCAAAAGGGGTTTAGTAGACACCAAAGTGGTGGACTCAACGGCAAACGTTGTAAATAAGATCGAATCTGAAAAAAATGCTTATAATAATAGCAGTTATAATGTTAGCAAATGTGTTTTTAAAATTATATAAATTATAATTATATATAAATAAGTGCCTACTCAAAAGATTCCAAAGTCAAGCAAACGACTTGGAAAAAAAACTTGTCCATCATATTTGCGATAATTAGAGGCATTACTCAAAATTAAAAAAAATATATATAAGTTAAAAGATTGGTTATGATTTTTATATAAAAAAATCAAACTTTCCTTTATTGAGTTGGATTAAGAACTAACTTACTTAGATTAAACAATTATTTTTATAGCTACGCGTCGCTCCATCGCTGCCGCCGTCTCTGCCGCTGTTGATGTTTCTGCTGACGTTCTTTCATATTATTGGTTGCTGCTCTTGGTCGCCGTCGCCGTTGGCCAAACTTAATTGTAATTGGCCAGTGCATTTTAATTATAGTTTTTGGTTTATTTTCTGATTAATTAATCTGTTAATTACTACTTGTCTATTGTTGTTTTCTAGCTGCTCATTTATCTTGTCTTCTAAGATCTGATAGTCGTGAATTGTTCTGTGAATTGGAATAGTCGAGGACTGTAGTTATTCCCAAGCATGTTGGTAAAAATAATCTGAAAAATTATGTTCTTATATTATTTTTATGTATGATTTTTCCGGTTTGTGTTTTAATGGTGGTCGTTCTATTTTCCGCTACTTTCTCGGTTTTGTATCTAGATGTAAGTTTAGTTCCTAATCTTTTATCTATTTTTACATGTACAGTTTCGCCTGGCTTAAAAAGTTTTGGTAATATTTTTCCTTGATTATGGTATTCGAGGTCGGCTGTTTGTTTATTTTTAATTTTCTTTTTATTTCTTCTCGTTTCTTTTCTATGTCTTCTGTTGAACTAGAGATTGTGCTTCTGAAAAATATGTCTATGGGTCTTTCTTTTGTTACAGAATGTATCGATTTATTATATTCTTGAACTGCTTTAAAGATTAAATCTTCAAATGATATGCTCCCGTTGTCTTTTTTGAGACACCGCATGATTTCAGATAGGGTTGAATGAAACCTTTCTATTTGTCCGTTACTTGTCGATGCGTACGGTGCGGTGGTGTGTAATGATATTTTGAGTTCATCTTCTAACATCAACTTTATTGCTGCTGAGCCAAATGATCGTTCGTTGTCCATTATTATCCATTTCGGCATACCGAAAGCAATTAACATTTCCCTCAACGGATTTTTTATATCTTCAGATGCTCTTGACTCTAAAATTTTTACTTGAACATATTTTGAAAACTTGTCAATTCCCGTTAAGACTCTATGTTTTTCGGTAATATAAATATCTATGTGAACTATTTCTCCTGGGTAATTAGGAATAGGGGTCGGTTGGATTTCTCCTTTTGGGGGGTGTCTATCGTATTTTGATTCTTTACAAGTTTGACAGGCTTGAACTATTGCTTGGATTTTCTTGGTAAGTTGTGGAAAGAAATAATTCTTCAATATTTGTAATTTGTTCTCTTTTGCATCTCTATTGGCTCGTTTATGCTCGAGGATAATTATTTCGTTTTGTTGGGACTCCGAAGTTACGTCGTCTATTTCGTTTTGAGTAAACCTTACCTTGTATGATTTAAAATAGGTAGGGTAAATGTTTTGAATTTTTCCCATTACCTCTTCGGATGTAATGAGTCCATTTATAAGCTTAGGATCAAGTTTACTAGTTAAAATTGCAATAAGTTTTTCTTCCGTGTAAGATTTTTGTTTAATTATGTGTCTGTGGTATGTTGGGAATGGCATTTTGAAGCTATAGGAATCTGTATCGGCAGTCAGTAATAATAATTGTTTTTTAAATACGTTAATTGGAGCTTCTACTGAAAATATGAGGTTGTGTGACGAGCTTTCGTCGCTATTGGCTGATGCTGAGGAGCTGATTGAATTAATTTCTGCGGGGGCCCGGGACAAAGCGTCCGCTACCACATTAGCTACTCCGGGCTTGTACC